TTTTTGGTTCAAAAAACACCCAGGTGCTGGGATTTTCAAAGTCAACGAACCTGCCAGATGTTGGCAGCTGTCAACGACTTTTAGTGCTGGTTTTCCAAATTTCTCGAACATGTTTTTTCCCGGTGCCGGGTGTTGTTTTATTAGTTTGACAAGGGGGTTTTAGTGCTGTTTTGTAATTCTTGTACATGGGTTTTCTCCGGGTAACCGGGTGTTTCAGTTTATTATCTCGTAGCAATTTTGGCAGAAAAATACTGTTCCCAGGAGTGAGTTTTTCAGAGGGAGTCGAAGCAATTTTGGACAGTTTTTCAGTTGAGAGATAAATTGGTTTTTGGAAAGAAGATCTGTTTCTGCTTGTTTTTTGCCAGCAGCTGGCAATAATTTTCGTTTGTCCCTGAGTTTCGAATTTTAGTAGAAGGAGACATCTCCCTATTTTACGAGTGCGCAGATTTTACAAGCTGCTCGAATTGCCTCGGTTCCGGGGACTATTTTTTCTTTCTGTTCTGTTCCCTTTCAGGATTTTTGGGTTTCCTGTTGCCCCGGTTTTTTGGGGCGCCAATTTTTCTTGCTCTCGTCTTTTTCGGCACATCCCGAGATGTGCCAATTAAATTTCAAGTCAACGGACCCCTCCTTTTCTCGCGGCAGCGCCCTTTGCCACCAAACAAATTTCGCACAGATTGAAAACTAAAAGAAATAATTCCTCAACAAATCGGTGTCGAACCAGTCATGCTTAAATCAGGGTACTCGTTGTCTTTTCCGTAGTAAGTTCCGCAGGTAATAACGTCGTCACAAAGAGTTAGGCATTAGACGTACTTTAGAAGAAGACGTATTATTTAAGTTGTTTTAATCATTATTGAGTCTGTTACCTGTGTTTGGAATTTCCAAAAGACAATGGCAGTTGAACTTATCTGATGAAAAAATAAAAGTTGGCTTTTCTCCAGATAACACTTCAGACAGATTTTCACAAACAAACATAAATTACATCAATTTTTATTTTGAGAAACCTTTATTCAAGCCTGCCTTTCCAAGTTTTGTAATATGCTCCAGTGTAGCTGCTTTGTTGGGGACCCACCACCATCAGTGTGACGATGAGTGCCTCAATAATCAAGGCTAGAGTCAATTGGCTAGAAAAATCACCCAAGGACAAACTCAGAAAATGGTTGACTTCATAGCACCAGAAAACCCAGGGAAATTTTGAGAACCTGCTTCCAAGGCTTTCTGTCCCCAGAGTTGTCTTCAACTCACATTTTCCTGGCCAATCCCAGGCCTCTAAAAATTTTCTCATCTCCTGCAAGAGTGCTGGATCAAGGCTAGTAACAATAATTAATAAAAAAAACATTTTACTCCCAATTTCGTCATCAGTCTGAGCCTAGCTGTTGCGCAGTGAACAGTCTGTTTACTAATTTGAGATTGCTGAGAGGCTTTTGTTGTTGATTAATATCTTTTGTGACTTGTTCAGCTCTTTGCCTTTGTTGGGACAATCATCTGAAATTCAGTTAAAAGTTGAATTAAGGATTCTGCCAAGAATCCCCAGCCTGGTCCCACCCTGATTCTGTGTTTCTATTTCTAATTTTCTTGATCCACAGCCAGTATTTTTCATCCTTATGTTGTGGTGACTGTTGTCCCCTATATTCTTCACTGGTTCTCAGCTTATTTTTGCCATAAGAGCACAAACTTTTTAAATATTTGCCGTAAAGTATTTCAATGAATGAATAAACAGAACACTTTATTTGCCACTTTTCAGCATTCACAATGTTCAATCAAGATTTCCACAACCAAACCCCCTTCCCACCCAGCCCAAATCCACTCAACAACAATTAATCACTTCAGAGCAGGAAACAGAGCACAAATTGATAAGAATAATAAAATAAAATACAATCCTTGAAATACAACTGGACATCTGACATGTCTGAAGTGCTATTTGGAGAAGAGCCAAGTTGTATTTTTTAATCAGATACGTTCAACTGCCATTGTCTTTTGGAAATTCCAAACACAGGTAACAGACTCATATTACTAATNAGCTTGTTTCTGTATGAGGTTTAGTTGAATGAACAAATTAGAGAGAATCTATGATGAGAAATCATATAAGGCCAACAGTTTATCTCGATCCTTTAAGATTTCAGAAAGGGTCTCTTCATTTAATTCCAATACTTGTAAATCTTTCTTAAGCTTGTTTCTATCAGTATGTCAAACAAAATGTGTTTGTGTCTACACAATGTTTTGGCTCTTTGCCAGCCTGCAGAAAAAAAATGCTTATGGAAATTTGCCAGTCCTTGGGCCCAAAAAGGTTGGGTAACATTGATTAGCAGCATTTTATTCTAGGCGCTTCTAGAGCACCACCTATTCCAGTGAGGCAAAGATTAAGACAGTTGTTTTTATATTTAAATTGACACAGGATTTTCTTTTTTCTTTTCCTCGTAAAAACCCACGGCTTAACACGTTTCAGTTCAACCAAGAATGCATACAAATGAACAGGAAATGCGCGTTAAGGCACACCATCTGAGACTGATGCAACTTGTGTATTTGAGAATGCAAGAACGCAGCGGACGAAACAATATGTAACTCTCGGGTTGCTCATCCGTTAGCACAAAAGCCCATGACTCTGAAATATCCTTCGAAAAGGATGGCGTAAGGGCCGCGGAAACAGATGGAAATCTCCTTCTTTTCCGTCAGAAAAAGATAAAATAAACCTTTCTCCTGAACTGAATGTTTCGTCGGTTGAAAAAAAAAGAACAGAATATAAATAAATCAGAAGAAGATCCTGATGGAGGATAAAATGTATATACACAGCAACTGACGCTGGAACGAAATATCGGCAATTTTCCGACAGTTATTTTCGCGGCCCACTTCCTGCAGGGATTTGGAGGAGATATCCGAGATTATTATTATTTCTTTTTATTAGGTTCTGGGGCTTATAATATTGGATAATAATGACACTTGAGTTGATGACTGAGTCAGCTGCACAGGAAAAAAGCAGCCTTTTTTTTTAGGCTGCGACTTCCTAGTTCACTTTTGTGTATTATTGCTCCTTATGTCAGCGTTTCGTCACGCTTTTCACTTCCCGGCTAATTTGCAAAACCACACGTTTCATAAACCACTTCCTCAAATAAAATATTTCGATGAATTGTGGTCAAGAGAGGGATTTAGTTACATTCACGGATATTCTGACAGACGAGCATCAAGTCAAGTTTTTGGAAGAAGTTGTCTTATTCCAGAGTACACAACAATTAAATAAGGCATTATTTATAACAACATAATTTTCTATTAATTCCTATCCTAGCCTAACGTAGGAAATTCGATGCCTTTCCAATTCCTGATGTCAAATAACATTTTTAAATAGGATAAAAAGGATTAATTCCTTGCACTTCTTTCTTTTTATCTCCGAATTAAAATTGGAATTTTTTTAATTTTGTGATGAAAATTCCCATGGGAACCCCACCATTGAATCTACGTTTCGGTTTTACTTTTTTTTTAATCCGAATATCTTCCTTTCGTTGCCTGTCCAACAAAGTTCAATAGTGTTGTAATAGTGTTGTAATTTTAATAGTTTTATAGTTATTTAATAAAACTCTTTAGACCGGTGTATAAAAACGCGCAGAAACTTGATGAACTTCCTGGAAAAACTAGTAAAAACAAAGGGATCACATCAACATTTTCAAAATGAAGGCTCACGAAACAAAAAATACGTTTTTGTTGGCGTGAAGAAGAATCGTTTTTTCAAATTTTGTCAATATATTTTTCCTCCGCGGCATACTGTAATTCATGAAATTCTCCCTGAGAGTCAAAAATAAGCTAAAATCGTTTGAAAAACCAATACGGCAAATGCATGCGATAAGAAATATTGTCATTATTTTTTTCATATCCCCGAGGTTACTAAGTGAGGGCAATGAATAATTTATATTACTGTATTATTCTGTATACGAGTATTGTGCCCGTAAGTCTTGCTTGCACTCCTCTTTTAAAGCTCCAAGAATTTGAAGTAACAAATCTTAGTGAGAGATATTATATACCTTCTAAAGGAATTTAAAAAAAAAACATTCCGACATCATTCCTTCAAAAGAGAACATCAAAAATAAAACATGGTCTTCCGCACGCTCTCAGCATTGGAACTAAGCGGTTACGAGTGACATACACAATTGATTGAAAACTTTTTCACGGCAAAAGCAAAGAGAAAGTTTTCTTTTTTCTCTCATTAGGCAAGTGAAGCAGCTGATCCGGTGCGAAACTTCGTGCCAAGCGCGATGAGCCTTTGAAGAAAAAGGCTAAATAACGTGACGCAAAAAACTTTCGCCCCACTACATCATTCCGATGATCATGAGCATCAACCGAATCAGTCAAGTCATCCCCATTGATCATCAGACTCAATCGCCATTCTGCAACGCCATGTAAAGAGTCTGTTGGTGGAACACCAGAAAAAAAAAGCTACAGTACCGTGCTTCAATCAATACTTTTCTGTGCAAGGAACTCGTCGTTTTTTGGACTAACGCAAGTAAGTAGTGACATCTTTTACTCTGTTTATTAAACGTGGTGTGGTGAGCTTTAACTTTTCCGGATGAACTGCGCTACTGGTTCAAAACGAAGAAAGTAAAGCTCAAATGTATTTGGTAGAGAACATAGAGGTCGCTCGAAGCGTTAAACTCCGTCAGTGAGATTTTACAACCGTTTCAGCAGTTAATCTCACACTTTCACGCATGCAGTGTTTACAATCATAAGAACTGTGCAAATTTATCTCATCAATTTTTAGACCGAAAAATGTGAATCTGAGATTTCTTCCTTTACAAGTTTCACGTACGAAGCTTTCAGGAAGTAAGAACTCGTTGGCAGGTGTCATGTTCCAGCAGCATTCGAACCTGATCCCATCTCAATGCGCCTATACCAAAAATGTTCCTTGTTTTTTCCAAATTCAATTCAAATGGGATACAGTATCCCAATAAGCACGGGTCCTTCACCGGATGAGAATCAGTCCCAGACGTCATCGCGGTTCTCACAGGTTTTTTTTTTTTTTTTTCTCATTCCAAGACTGCGTTTTTTCCATCGTTCGGCTCTATATATCAACCACTGAGAACAACAAAAAAAGGCCTGGTGTGTGTGCTTAGAAAGAGCCCATCAAGCAGTTTTTTTCCTACTACTTTGCCTGGTTATTAGGCCAGAAAGGGGGAAATTAGGCAGAAAAAGGATGAACAGGAAAGAGCTGATGAGGGACCGCGGCTTGACGAGGTTTTTGCTGCGCACTTCAACCAATTTGAGGTCAGTTTTATGTATATAAAGCTTACGTGAAATGAATTGTTGCCATTCAGAAATTATGTGCTTGTCAGATTATCTGATATGTGATGCCAGATTTGAAAAGCAATTTTTTTTACCTCACACTAGGCTTAAGGTGCCTTTTGTGTTAATAGAAGTCTTCACAAAATTTACACCAGAGAATCTCTTCTTGGGTTCGACGACTTTATTTGTAAATCATTAAATGTGAGCTTACCATAATAATGAAAAGGAGTCTTGAACTTGAGGAACAAACCTGGATAATTCAAGTAAGAAATGAGAAAAATTCCAAAATTTGAGGAAATTTTAAATTTTCATGACAATAGATTCCCAAAAAAGAGAAAACAAAAAATAAAACCTTACAATTTAAGGAAAATTAAAATAATGAGGAAATTTACATTTTCTGTTTGCTTCTGATCACGTATTTTTTAATATTTAATTCAATGCGTATTATTTATTAATGTTTTCGTCATATTCCTGTGGGTTCTGTTAATTTGGCTAGCAATTGACAGAAGCAAGATTCACTGTTTGAAAAATTATTGTGCATACACCAAATGACCTGATAATAAATTTGGATGACAGTATTAAGACCACCACACTTCTGTTTTTGAAAATAGAGTGATGATGCTTGACAAAAAGCGTGATATTTGTTATTTTACTCACATAGTTTTCTTGAAATTTCAGTTATGAGAGAATGGCTTTTCTTGATAACGCTCCATTTTCTCACAGAATTTTAAAATGCATGATTAATGATGCAATTTTATTTAACCTCGAAATATCCAGATGTTTCTCGTTCACCAATAAAATACAAAGCGCGTAACGTCGTCTTTTATTCAAAAAATGAAATTTGAATTAGATTATCAAGACGTGGTAAATTTCATATTTGGAATTCATCTTCAAGAACTTTATAATTAAAAGCAGATTATTTGATGGAAAAGCTTCGAATAAAATCGCGAGTCAGGATTTATTTTTGCAGACAAGTTTCGCTCGAAACTTTTGACATTGATGAGATGCCGTCTCACGGAAACGCTTTGAAACTCTCTGCATTGAATAAACTGTCAATTTATTATCGATTTTAAGCGTTCCGGCAACTGTTGAAATTTTTTGCAGCGTCGGCGACGAAGGAAAAGTGATCATCAACTTCGAAGAGGCTCTGTTTGCTATGCTCGAACAAGACGGGAAAGTGAATGCGGGGAAATTATTCAAGGTGACGACTGCGAATAAGTTTATAGAAAGAATTTTCAAATTTTCTAACGGTCATTAAATTTCGTTTTAATATCCTCAGAGCTTTGAGGAACAAGGAATCCGTCGCGACGACCCGAGGTTGAGGACGATCATCGACACCTTGTCACAAATGTCGTTGAAAATGAGTGTCGACTCTGATCTCGGGGAACCGGTCCTTATAGAAAACCTGGCCATTGACAAACCTTCCTTCATCAAGTAAAAAACAGCTGTTAAATCTCCTTTTCGATACATTAAAAAAATCAATAAAAAATCCACAGAATAGTAAAAAACAACCGGATGATCTTCTCAAAGTCCTTCCGAGCCGCCTTCGTTCTCCCGGAGTTTCGCCATTTCTCAGCCACCATCAAACAATTTTACAACGAATGCAAAGAAATCCCGACACAAAACGCCGTAGTATGTCCATTATACAAGAATTAAATTTTTCTTGTCAAAATAGAGACTTTCTCAGGTTTACAATCGCATTCCGCAAACTGCCAAGGCCGATCCCGGGGCTTTCGGGGTCGCAGTTTGTTCCATCGACGGTCAGCGATTCTCTGTTGGAGACACGAAAACCTTTTTCCTTTTGATGTCCATGAGGTGAGAAAATATAGATAATAACCAAAATCTTCGATCAATTTGTGTGGGGGAAAATGTTTCAGTGACGCTTTGATGTACGCCTTGGCCAGGAGTGAGTTGGAAAGCGAGGATATCGAGAAGTACATCGGTCAGGAACCGAGTGGCAGGGATGCCAAAGAACTCGCTCTGGATTCCAGGAGTTTGTCTCTTTTCAATTTTATTTCCCCGATTTTATAAACAATGATTTCAATATTTCATCTTAATTCCAGACAGGCCGTTCAATCCGCTGATCGACTCTGGGGGAATAATGATCGCAGCGCTCATCCAGAAGCTCGTTCACCCGGACCTGAAATACTCTGAGGTTTTCGACTGGGTCTTCAACAGTTTCAAGGTTGTCGAAAATGTTGTTAATGTATCTGGAAATTTTGAATGGGAAAGTCTTTCTGCTGGAAAATTGACAGAGAGCCACTGGAGGGATGCCATTCCGATTTAACAATGCTGCTTTCATTGCCACCAAGGAAGCTGCGGATGGCAACTATGCCCAGGCTTATTACATGAGGGAAATGAAATGCTTTCCGCCAGGTGCAGAGCTTTTGGCTTGCATGGATCTATACCTCCAGGTATTATGTTACATTAAAAAAGGGTTTCCTACTACTGTATAAAGGGATATTGTGGCAGAATGTTTTTGGTTAATGACAAAAACGGACAAGTCAAATGTTACTCAAAGGTCCAGAGTATACTGCAAGTGACAATGGAGTACAGTAAGACCCCGATATGCGGACACCCCAAAATACAGACAATTCAACTTAGGGGCACTTGAAAACTAAGAAATCAGGCACAACATCTGAACATTGGCTCAATTTAGGGACACGTTCCTGAAATTTTTTGAGAAAATTTTAGGATATTTTAGTATATTAATTTTCATATCTTTCAAAGAAATCAAGCTATTCAAGTTCACAAAAATTGAAAAAATATTTCAAATTAATTCACTCGAATTCATGGTCAAAAGCAAAGTTATTTGGTGCTTCTTTTTTCAGAGTTTTTTCTGTCATCTGTGCATATTCTAGCAAGACTTATTCTTTTTATTTGCTCTTTGACCTCCTTTTGATACAAAATGATCAGATTATACGTGGTCTTGTTCTGCACTGTTGTTTTCTACAACTTGAAGTTGAGGGGAACAATTTTTATTACATTTTTTGGAGGAATTATTTTCAATTTTTGAAAAAAAGGAGAACCAATTAAATACATTAGCGTTGAAGTTTAAGGGAAAATGAGAATCAAATCAGGGACATTCTGACATCAGGAACACTCTTGATGCACCAATTATGTTCTCATTTTTGGGGTCTTACTGTACTTGAATTCAAAAATTCCTGTGGTAAACTTTTACAAACTTTTGATTGATCTACAACATATACAATATACTCACATCATTGGATAACTGTACTTCAAGTGTCACAGGGGAGTTTTATTGTAAATGTTAAAATATGGGCTGCATTATTAGTGGGAGATTGATGAAATCTTCTTGGCTTCATTTTTGTTTTCCAATTTGGACTGGCATTTTCTCCAAATTTCTTTAGATTTTTTTTACTGTGCACTATGAATGAATGAACAGAACCCTTTATTTGCCGCTTTTCAGCATTCACAATAAGGTTCAATCAAGATTTCCACATCCAAACCCCCTCCCCGCCCAACCCAAATCCACTCAAAGACATGTAATCACTTCAGCGCAGGAAACAGAGCACGAATTGATACCAAAAATAAAAGAAAATACAATCCACAAAATACAACTGGACATCTGACATGTATGCATGCACCCATTCAATCCCTGACATTGCAAACAAAACGCCGCGCACTACAACGCACTTTTCCAGTACTTTTTTACAAGTACAGCTATTCTTTCACAAATGGATCCTCAGCATTTTCCTCTACACGCACATAAATTTCAAAATTGTATTCGCTGCAGTGCCATTCGATGGAGTCAACGTGCGAGACGTTAGCTGTGATTGCAGCCACTTTGGCCAACGGTGGCATCAATCCCCTGACCGAGGAAATGGTTTTCAAAGGGGACGCAGTCACGGACATCCTGTCTCTCATGCATTCCTGCGGACTGAAGGAGTACTCGGGGGCATTTGCCTTTGAAGTCGGAATGCCTGCCAAATCCAATGCGTGTGGAGCCCTCATGGTCGTCGTGCCAAATGTTTTGGGCTACTGCGTCTGGTCCCCGCCGATAGACCCCATGTTCCAGTTGTCCCTCCGCGGACTGGCGTTTTCTGAGGTCAGTTCTCGGGGACACGAATTTCAGGGAATTCATTCAAATTTGAATTAATTCAAATGAATTATTTGAATGATTTTGAAAAGATTACAGTGAGACCCACACATGCGGACGCCTCGACCTGCGGACAATTTGACATAAGGACACTTGTATTCCCAGAAAAAATCAATAAAATAAATCCACAGAATAGTAAAAAACAACCGGATGATCTTCTCAAAGTCCTTCCGAGCCGCCTTCGTTCTCCCGGAGTTTCAGTGGCAAACAATTTTTTTCAGGGAATTCTGAAGAACATTCCTTCCACAAAACACCAATTAAAAATTGTAAAATGTAAGTCTATTGGAAAACAAGACTCGAGTTATAGGGGCACTCTTGATGCACCAATTACATCCACATCTCGGGGTCTCACTGTATTTGATTGAATGTGCTGGGGGTGGGGGGGGGGGGGAGAGCCCGAAATCCATGCTATGTTTTTCTTTTTGTTGACAGAAAATCGTGTCCGCGTTTCCCTTCCACCACTTCGACAACGTCAAGCAGCCATGCAGCAAGAAAACGGATCCCTGTCGATCCCTGGTGGACGAAAGAGCGGAACCCGTCGTTTCCCTGCTTTTTTTAGCAGCATCCGGAGATGCGAAAGCGATGCACAGGTTCTTCATGTCCGGCATGGACATGTCCGTGGCTGATTATGACGGCAGAACTGCTCTGCACTTGTCAGCTGCCGAGGGACATGGGGAATGTGTCGAGTACCTCATCAAGGTCTGCGGAGCAGATCCCAATGTCGTCGACAGGTCAGTGTTTCTCATTCCTTTTTTTTTCGTTTAATGGAAAAAGTGTGCTGTACTGTACATAACTTCCATATTCACCTGAGTACCACGCACACCTTTTTTCCTTGAATACTATTTGAATTAAATTGAATTGAACAGCAAGCTTTCTTTTCCACTTTTCAGCATTCACAATAAGCTTCAAGCAATGTTCCCACATCCAAACCCTCTCCCCTCCCCACTCACATTCATCCAAGTACATTTTTCATATCAGAATGGAAAACAGAGAAACAAGCTGTACATGGATATTAAAAGAAAAGAAAATGCATCCCAAAAAGTGTAACTGCACAACTGATATGAATACATACACTTTCTTCCCTTCCCTAATCACACAAAATATAGCAATAATAACAATTTCAGCATGAGGCAATTACTAAACCCAAATTAAAGCATAAGGTGCTCAACCTGCTCCCAGATAAGGCTTAGTCAATTAAGCAATTTGGAGAGAATCTTTGATGAGAAATCACATAAGGTTAACAGATTATCTTGATCCTCCAAGATTTTGGAAACAGTCTTTGCATTGAATTTCAAGATTCCCAAATCCTTTTTGAAGCTCATTTCTGTAGCTGTGGAGTATAAGAAAAGAAGGTGCTTTGGTGATGCATCAACCAAAGTATTTATACTGCAGAAATTACACCATTTATAGACACCTTTGAAAATGTGATGAATTTTTTATTAAAATGAAAAACTAAGGCAGAAAAGTGGGGTGCACATGGTACGCAGGAATAGATTTTTTAAAAATGAAAATCAGGATATTAGTGGTGGTGCTGGTCATAACTCATACAGGAATCTCCAGAGGAGAACATTATGAAGAGGATATCATAATTGGTACTTATATCCTGGTAAATTGCTTCCAGTTATGAAGATTATTCACATGATTATCAAGTTAAACACCAGAATTTCAAGGAAAAGGAGATATTTTGAACCACCAAAAACTTGGGTGCGCGTCGTAAATGGAGGAGGGGGTAGGTTTTCGGGCAATTTCTAGGCACAGAACAAATGAATTTTGCGATGTTGTTATTTGAGGGTGCGTGCTAATTTTATTTTTATATTTTACCTACAGAAATATCAGTAACACATGCGAAGCTAGAATCGATGGCGTCTTCGAGTACCTCACGCAACCTTTATTATTACTGTATTTTTTTTTCAGAGTTGTCAATATCAAAAACCAAGATGAAGCGCAAGTTGTTCGATGGTCAAAATAAATATAGTACAGCACCACACAGACGGAAAAATGAGAAATGTAGGTTGATGTTTTCTATCTTAGATGTCGCTAGTTCATGAAAGTTACACACGCCGAAAGGGCTTTGTGATGAGGTCAAGATTTGTCCCTTCATGGAAGGTCATTGGAAAATGCAAATATCAGCGACATCTGTGGTTAGTGAGACAATTTCACGCACGGCGTTCTTCTTGTTTTTTTTCTCGGAAATGCATTTCAAGCATTAAAAATGCCGTTTCTTTTGTCATTGGTCCATATATATCCATACCTTCGACATTCCCTCCTCTGCAGAAATTAAAAACGGCTGATGGATACCTGATACCTTCCATTACTGAAGTACAGTATTCCATAATTGCTCCTCGGATTAATTAACACGGAGTCATCAAACCCACGCTTGGAATTATTGTTGAACCTCATCAAGTCTCTGTGAGTCAAAAACCACTGCAATTCTCATTTACAGGTGATCCATGGCAAGCTCCTTTTAGTTCAATGCAATTTGAGTCTCTTATTTTCAAACTCGAAATATTTGTGGAAAAATTATCCTGAATCCAATTTGTACGGTCTTTTTGTCTCTTTTCCTCGAGACTACATTTTAGAACAACTAATTCCCGAAAAAAGGAACAGATGCAAATTATTTTAATTATTTTCTCTACAATGCATAGACATATTATTCCTGCAGGTATAAAGACCTCTATGAGTATTGGACAGTTGTAATAATTTGGCCAGAAAATAATTTATATTGATTAATCCACCCAAATCCAGCCAAATTCCATGACAAAAAGACTCTCCAGGTCAGATTTTGTTTGAAGTCTCTTCAAATTTGACCAATGGGTTCAACTGTCTTACAGCTGAATTTCTTGGAGTATTGTATTACTGTACTTAACTGTATCAAGTAATGTATTTATGTATAGCAGCATAAATACATTAGTTTGTGCATCACCAGAGCACCTTCTCTTCTTATCTCCAGCATTTCATACTGATAGAAACAAGCTTAAGAAAGATTTAAAAGTACTGGAATTCAATGAAGAGACCCTTTCTGAAATCTTAAAGGATCAAGAAGCAGGATAATTATTTTTTTTTTACAAAAAAAGTGAGGGTCGCTCTTGAATTAGCTGTTCATATCTCCAACTGGTCAGAAAAGGACAGGATATTTGGCTCATTCCACAGCAGTAGAACATATTATACGCGAACTTAGATCTCTGGGAGACTGTTGCTGCGGAATAGGCAACTGGGGCACTGGGATTTCGCGGGCCCAGAAGCACGCATGGGACCCGCAGGCCAGGCAGGAAGTGCCGGATGTTGGACCCTGCCGTTGGCGGGTCTGGGCGAATCAGGCAAGACGAATTCCACACCCTCCCATCCCTGATCATGCCTGGCCAGTATGTATAACCCTGTAATGCTAAAAAGGCACATGTTTAAAGGCAGGTGAAATTTCTGTACAAAGAATTATTCCTTAAAAAGAAATACTGTATTCAAACATTTCTAGCATATGTTTCCCACACATGATGGACTGTACCAAGTTTCCTGATCAGGCACAATTCACATCTTGATTTTTGTTTGTAAATTTTAAAAAATCCATTTCCACCTGAAGATATTTCAGCTTTTTACACAGAAGTAAATGTGCTTGCATGCATTTTTATTGTAAAATAATTTTATAACTATAAGGCATTTATGAAATATCAAATACAATATTTACAAAATATCAAATGGGTGTATGCATACATGTCAGATGTCCAGTTGTGTTTCATGGATTGTATTTTCTTTTATTTTTGTTATCAATTTGTGCTCTGTTCTCTGCTCTGAAGTGATTAAAATGTCATTAAGTGGATTTTGGTTGGGTGGGAAGTGGGTTTGGTTGTGGAAATTTTGATTGAACCTAGTGAACGCTGAAAAGTGGCAAATATTGTAAAGTGTTCTGTTCATTCAAGTAATACAGTTAACGTTCAGAGTTTCAAGTGTACATGCTAATATTTCGCAGAGAATTGCTATATAAAGGCAATAGAAGCTCCTATAAAAGTGGGTCTCAAAATCTTTGGTGCCATTATACAGTATATAAAAATATGGAATCAAAATTGCGTTCTTTTTCAGATGGGGTCAGACGCCGTTGGACGACGCGATTTTATTCGGCAACACGGAGGTCGCCAGGATATTAGCCGACGCTGGAGGAAAACCGAAAGCCACCGAAAGCGAGAAATGAAAACAAGGAAATAGGAAATCTCCAAAATATGAGCAAGAATCCAATTTTCGTACTTCTTCTTCTCCTCTCGTCATGGTTGAGTAAGGAAATCCAGTGGGGAAAAATATCCCGGTGATGATGCCTTATTCTTCCGCTTCTTGATGGGCAAAGAACAATAAACTGCGCACCGCATACGCGAGAAATGATATCCCATGAAGAAAAATCTCAGGAACTTTTTTTTTCCGGCGGATTAACGGAAACATTTTGTTGTCATGCCACCCAGGCGGAAACGAAGACTTTTAATAGCCATCTGTCGGCTATACAAAAAAACAATAACAGGTCCAGGATTTTCAATAAAAGTCCGGCTCGACTTTCGACGTGAAGCTTAATGGAACATGGACCTTATTTTTTCCGTCTGCTGGTTCTCAGTACAATTACGATGGAGATTCCGCTCTAAAGATATCAAATGTTCAGAACCTTAGTTCCAAATTAGAAACTTTGAAGAAGAGTTTCAAAGACCTTTCCTGAAGAAAGAAATTATTCAAGTGTTTCCGAAAACTTACTTCTTATACCACAAGCACGAACATCATTGTCGACTCATAAAACTTGGCGGACGGATTTCAACAACTTTTTTTTACAAAACGTACCAACGGATTAAAAGTATTTCATGCAAGATTTTTTCTTAAATTTGACACAGAAATCTAAAATCTTCCAAGTGTCCAACGCCCATCGATTAAGGTGATGGAAATCTACGAAGGAAAATAAAAAACGGTCACGTCATCGTGATTTACACATCGTAAACTAACAAATAGTGTGATCTAATATTCTAACATTAAACATGAGCTAATTTATTTTTAAATATCGCCAAATTGTGGATTTACTTGAGGGAAAAATCCTAAAATGGATGCTTATTTGGATTTCGAGGATAGTTCGTATAAAACGAGTGCAGTACACAAAATAGCATCATACGCTACGGACGATAAGGCGCATTTACACGTAGGTGTCACTCCTGACAAATACATTACGTGGTGCTGATCATTATCCTTCACCGCGAAACATTTGATCCTGTAATCGCGTTCGTGTTTCTTTCAGAATGGAATTGCCATTGTCAGCGCACTTTCGTTGAACATGCTTGTGCGTTACTGTACTGTTCAGTATTTAATTTCTTCAGGGTACTACAGTATTATTTGAGACAATTTGTGCATCGACTCTTCGGGATTCCATCGAAGTACGCGGTTTCCGTATTCATCTCATATATATGAGGACATGAAGCCGAACGCGTCGGAACTTCTCAATTTTTTCAAGCTACTGCACCTTTACAAGGTCAGCATTTACAGTATTATTCAATGATGCTTATTATCGCGAACCACAAAATCTATCGATGCGTAAATTCTATAAATGAATCCCCGTTTCCATAGCATCTTACTCTCAGAAACAAAAGCTCGTGCACGTATTGTTCACACTTGCGAAGAGAGAACGTGAACCCGCAATTGCCAACAATTCGTGGTATACAGCGGAACTCTGTGAATTGTTTTCCTAGAAACGAAAGCGAAATCACTAACCTTTATTTCGAAGGAACAACGGAAACAGGTTTCCTGGCNTTTACAAGGTCAGCATTTACAGTATTATTCAATGATGCTTATTATCGCGAACCACAAAATCTATCGATGCGTAAATTCTATAAATGAATCCCCGTTTCCATAGCATCTTACTCTCAGAAACAAAAGCTCGTGCACGTATTGTTCACACTTGCGAAGAGAGAACGTGAACCCGCAATTGCCAACAATTCGTGGTACACAGCGGAACTCTGTGAATTGTTTTCCTAGAAACGAAAGCGAAATCACTAACCTTTATTTCGAAGGAACAACGGAAACAGGTTTCCTGGCTCAAAATGCGAAGCTGAAGAAGTGTATTTTGCTGCGTGTCCAGCGCACAGCGCCGGGAAGTCTAGTATGCCACAATACCGATTCGCCGGAAAGTTCAAGTAACAACCGGAAGACTGCGATATACTGTACATTTTACTGTACTTGCACACACACACAGAATCACAGAATCCACGGTCCGCAGATTCCGGTTCTGCGACAGTGAAAACACTCGATTCATTTCCCGCAGCGCACCGGAAATGCGCCGGGAAATTTTCACCCGGAAATCAGTAATTTCTCCTTACACTGCATTTCGACACAGTACACGAAATACTGGCACATTCTTACGGCTGGAAGTTTAAATTCCGAACACAGAAACACAATCCGAGGTGTTGGAGATACAATAGTGTGTACAGAACAATACAAGATAGCAATATACTGCAGCGTAATAATAAATACAAAATCCTGTCATAGCTGAAGGTACGCATGCACTCGATAAAACCATTCCGCAACGCACTGGGAAAAAAAACACCGAATTCAGAAATTTCAAATTCCTGGGAGAATTAATGGGTCAGCATCAATCCAGATTATTCATTACATTATGTACATGTGCATAGGATCAAACACTACATCACGATTCGAAGTCTCAGTTAGCAGAAATAAGTCACGTCACATATTCATCCAAGAGATGAAAGCGTGTGACGTCATCAATCTCCGTGTCCGTAGGACACATTTTCAGCCTATGGATTGCTGCGATCGGACGCTCTTCTGCACAATCCACGGGGACAATAAGGATTACGACCTGAGATCATAACTACGCTTTTTTACACGCGCACAGGCCCCTACATGAACCTCAATTAGAAGGTGAAGAAAAAGTACGTGATAGTGTTTTTGGTCACCTGTGGAAGCATTTGAACTGGTTTGAAGCAGGAATTCAAGCTGTTCAACTTGATTGAAGAAACTTCGTAATACAGTACTGTACTGTTACGCCGGAACGAGGTTGGCCATTTTGTTGCATCTTTGGCTACCATAGCGACCTCTTCTGAGACGTTTAATCACTCCGCCTTGCGGTTGAAATGTTCATCCGTTGAAATGCGGTACGTGTTCTGAAGCTACGTAAGTTCGCGAGGTTGAATTCATTCAAGGATCCTCTTTTGAATGTTTTTGTACACAAATAAGAGACTTACTTGTGTACTAAGATAATCCAGTTTCTGTTTATATTATGTGCACCAGGTGACGTGAAACCGTTATTGTACTGAATCATAATTTGCTCCTTCGTTCATGCCATTATTGAAGTACCTAAGCCGATCGCATCACGGCGCGATGTGTTCTACGTTCAGGTTCTCTCGTTCGTTCTCGTGCAGATGCTAAGATTACCTACACGGTATTGCATTTTTCTATGATCTGTTGAGACGTTCGCGACCAGATTATTGTTCCATTCTACCGATTTCATGCGTCAGTATGTAATACCGTACTTTTTTGTTCCTCGTCAACCGATATATATGGTATTTCCCTCGCGTTTGTGCGTTATTCAAAAATAATTTGCTTCAATAATAACGGTTGGTGCAAGCCGTGTTTTCGTATTTGTGATTAGATTTCAAGGTTGGGAGCCTGTGCATAGCCATCTGGTGTACTCCATGCAGAAGAAATATTCGTTATAGACGAAGTGTTGGGTGTTCAGAAATCCATTTAAGGACTTTCGGCGCTTCGTTAATGGATTAGTGACAAGCAGTGTTATACCGAAAAGAACATCGTGTGTTGGGTGTGAAGTGCGCAGTCCGGATAGCGAGGCTCTTTTCGGCTGGCTCATTATAAGGAGAAACCCAGTGTTCAATCCTGGCCGAGACAACTTCCAGAGACGGTGACGACTTGCGTTGGAAGATGCGCTCATCTAGGTTAGTTTTTGGGTTATACGCGCGGTACTGTACATACTTATTACATCGCCTCACGTTTCCGTAAACTTTGAGATTACCACGCATTACATGCCTATTAATTTGAACGCTTAACGAAATGTGAAGTGTTCTACGGTTGCAGAAAAGCGCGCCTACTGTATATATAGAAAAGCCTGCGGGGAAAAGACGCTTACGGTAATCGTTCTTTCGATGTTATCAAAGTTGTGAAAATTTTTTGGAACTCATATTTCACCTTCTCTGGTGTTGTAGGCCTTCAGTACTGCGACTCGTAAAACTGCGTTAGCAGTTTTTCAAGTGATCGGTATGTAGACCAATCATTTTATGTCCAGAATGATTCGTTGCACGAAAGAACGTGAGAAAGTAATGTATTCCCCGAAATGCTGTGGTCGTTATTTGGGATTTCCCCAGTGTTTCTTTTAAGTGGGTCCTTTTTCACCTTTTCTTTAACTGGGTGATTTTCTGGTGACAGTGGGTCTACATAAAGTATTTTTATTACGTTAGGGGAAACGTTTTGGAGGCACTTGAGCTTGACGGGTCTCTTGTTTTATTGGACGTGCTAAGCCTGCGTTACCCAAGTTTTTACTGCTGTTCCCGCTTTCTAGAAACTGGTGGATACCCCTAAATGATTAGGAAATATTTTCCAACGGGTCACATAATGTGGAGAGCCCGTTTTGTGACCCAAAAATTGCTGGTATGTTCGAGCAAAATGTTCCGCGTCAAGTTCCGTTATACCGCAACGCATTGCAGTGATTTCTGGTTATTGACGGATTTGTCTTACCTTCTATTAACCCTGTAAAATGCCCCTAATCGCCGCAAAATTGGCGATCATCATTTTTTTTTTCTTTGAACAGTTGGATTGGTTCGAGGTTATTTTACTCGACTGTGACTGTAAGCCTTGATTTCTCGCAAGGCATGAAGTCAGTTTGCTGTAGTTTTGTGGAATTTATTTTTACCTTTTTCTTTCTGGCAAATCTGTATTAATTTACCTACTTATTACTGGGTCAGCAGTATAAGTGCACCTTTTTTCCATTCAAAGAGCTCAAAAACTAGGGGAAAGCTCATATTCGCATGTTTATGCAATTTGCGTATATACGCGTCTTATGTCAGGAGATCTTCCTGTTGGTGGCACACGAAACAATCTAGCACTTTATTCTTCACTTTTTTTTAATTGAAGTTGAAAATGATCATGAAATGGTCAGCTGTTAGCCCTACAAGATGCATGCCGTCATTGACTGAAAGGAAAAAACAAGGGTTACGTTCCACGGTTTTTCTGGAGAAAATCTACATTTAATGAGAGATTTCAGGTTCTTGAGAAGTCAGAATGCCGAAAAGGTAAGTGGGTGTTTATGATTGCCTATTCATGGAATTTTATTTTGTGCATTGAAAAGAAAATCTAGGATCTGCTTATATTCTCGTAAATATTGTACGGTATGCTCAT